CAAAAGCGATCGATCTGTTCCTTTCTCGGCGAAGATATTGTATTGTACGATATGTGCGCATTTTGGTTTAAGCGGTTTAAAAGCGGTGATTTCAGTCTGATCGACAAACAAAACGCCCTGTACCCCTATTCTGTAACTTTTTACGACAAATTCGCTATCGTTACGCGTCGTTACGCAGCTATTTTCCGATACGTTTTAGCTGCACAACGACACGTAACGATAACGACATTGTCGTTACGAAGTTGGAGAATAGGCCTACTGGAGGCCCTCGGAAGTGACAACGATAATTTGGAGCAACTGCTCGCTGAAAATTCGGCACAAACGCAAAAAGAGCTTGCAAAGCAGTTGAGAGTGACGCAATAAACTATTTTCAAACACGAGATGGAAAAGATCCAAAAAGAAGGAAAATGGGTTTCGCATGAATTCACTGAAGCCAATAAAAATCAACGAGTGGCAGCGTGTCTTTCTCTTCTCAATAAGCAGCATAGAAATAAGTTTTTCTTGTAGAAAATCGTTACGAGCGATGAGAAATGGATATCTACGACAACTTGAAACGCAGAAAGTCATGGGTAAATCCCGGCGAACCATCAACATCGGTTGCAAAGTCTAAACGCTTCGGAAAGAAGGTTCTGCTCTGAATTTGGGATATCAAAGGCGTGATTTATTATGAGCTGTTGAAACAGTTACTGCGGGCTGCTACCAACGCTAATTAAATCAAGTCCGCTTGAGTCAAGAATTGAAACGAAAACGTATATTAGCAAAGAAAAACGTCCTATGAAATTGCTGGATGACAACGCCAGCCCACATATTGCTTCTAAGACAAAAGGCACCATAATGAATCTTGGCTGGGACGTGTACCCGGCGTATTCACCAGACATAGCTTCTTCCGATTACCTCTTGTTCCGATCGATGCAATATGCCTTATTCGATACAAAAATGGCTTGACTATTTCATCATGTCCAAAGATAGCATTTTTCTGAAATGGAATTCATCAGCTGCCTAAAAGTTATAGAAAGCAACGGTGAATATTTCGACTGAAAAATTTGTTTTACTTTCTTTTAAAATAAACCTTGAATTTCGCTGAAAAATTTGGATTATTCATTTGTACACCTATATACGAGTACAACTGTAATAAATCATACGTATTATTTTGTAACATCATAACAGTATAATGTAATAATATTTTCGCAATATATAATATTTTGTTATATATGTGTTCCCCTTCACTTGCTATTACGCGACAAAATCAGATTTAACTAGCTTGTATTCAAGTTTTTGCTATGAAATATAAAGTCTACACCTCTGTGAAGGCATGTCATCTTTCAAAAAACTAAATTTTTTTAAAGTTCTGAGTGCATCCCAAAGAGTTCTAGAGACCCCTATTAATTTTAAAAATAGTTCTGGTGAATTAAGTTTAAAAAACCATTATTGATGAATCTTCGAGGTGCTAACTTTTCAAAATGAAATCATTAAATCAGCGATAACATTATAATCACTAAAAATAATTAATTTTGCCATTAGGATTTCTTATAGAACTCTTGAGGTGCTACCAAGAACTCTCAATAAAATTGCCAGAACTTTAAAAAAAATTTTTGGTCTTTCATTTAACATATGAAAAATCGCGAGGACTTTATATATCGGTCTTAGCGCTCCAAGCATTAAGAGTTATTGGTAGAACTCGTAAAGTGCTATCCAGAACTCTGATGAAACGGTCGGGATTCCCAAAAAATTTTTTACCCATCGGAACTTAGAAATTTTTCGTATATCGGATCGAAAAATTTCTAAGTTCTGTGAAGTTTTATGAAGTTAGCACCCCCTAAGATTCATCAATGGTTTTTTAAGCTTAATTCGCCAGAACTATTTTTAAAATTAATAAGGAACTCTAGAATTCTTCGGGGTGCACTCAGAACTTTAAAAAAAATTTAGTTTTTTGAAAGATCAGGTGCCAACTTCACAGAGTCTACAAAAGACGGGTACTAACATAAGATCTAAAGTATATCCCTTCTTTGTCAATTTAATTTCTACAATCTCAACAATAAGGGATTCAGATTATTAAACAGATTATTTGAAATTGGGCGGATAAATAAAAAAAAGTACATTTACTGTCTATTTGAAGCAAAATATCGGGATTTCTATATAAATTAAATCGCGAGTTTTATCAATTAAATGCATATAAATTATTTTTATTTATTTATTTAATTATTAACTTTATGATCGATTCTATCCCAAGTAGCAAAATGACGTCACAATGACAATAAATTTTGGCCATGAAATGACCAATTAGATGTCCTAAGTTATTAGATCTCATGAGAGTTAAAAATGATATCGATATGTCAGATCCATGGGACATCATTTTCTGACGTTTGTTTGATAGCAAAAATAAGATTAATCAGCATTAATATATAATAACACATATTAATGTAATATATAGAGTGTTTGATAATAATCGTCCCACTCGTAATGTGCAGGTACAACGGGTTAAACCGAGTAGGAAGGTCTTGTACCGTTTTGCGATCTTCACAATAATTAATGAGAAATTAATTAAAAAAGATCGGCCAATTCGCTCGAGTATTGTTGCGCAGTAAGAAAGGACGGCTTGATGGGCAGTATCGATATTGTTAGGATGTGAGAATCCATCGTTATGTACCGTTCATACATAACCGTTGTCATTTATAGAGCGCTCCTCCCAAAATTTTGTCGCGCGCCTAGCGATCGCATACTTTTTGGGTTGGCTCTTTTCGCTACGCGCTTATACTCGCGCGAATTGGTCGATTTTTTAAAATTAATTTTTCAATAATTATTGAAGAAAATAATTAGAATTTAATTAGAAATTAAGAATTACTTTTCTGCGTTCATCTCTCTAATTATCAATTAATTGCGTGCACCGTTTTCTACTGTCCTTCACACAGAATTGTAAGTTACATCTAGCTCTGAAACAATCTTTGTCTCTCATGTCGTTTTTTATCATGTGTGCTTCGACGCTCTCGTTGCAGGTCTCATCTAACTCAAAAATGTTAATTTCATTGAGATTAATTAAATCATCTTGTGCTTATACTCGCGCGAATTGGTCGATTTTTTTAAATTAATTTTTCAATAATTATTATGAAAATCGCAAAATAGTAAAGGACTTTCCTGCTCGGTTTAACCTGCTCCATCTGCACATTACGGGTGGGGCGGTTATTATCAGACACCTTGTATATGCATATATAGATAAACTCAAATTATTTATTTTTAAAATTAAGGATTTTATTTCTATGGAAGTTAATTTCCATTTTATATCTTAAGTGGATAATAACGAACAATTTTCACTTATTTGGACAATATCTGTTCGAATAAGATCGGGCATCTATCTGTCCGATTTCCCAAAAATCAATTCAATATCTGAATTATCCTGTATGGGGATTGTATCAGAAATTAAACTCTTATAAATAATTATTACAATGTTATTAGCTGCATTTTGACTTTATATACGATCATGACAAAAATTTGAATACGGGTATAGATAGAGAATAGTGCGCCACATAACGATAAACGGTAAACTATAATCCCAATACAAGTTACAAAAGGACTTTATTTGAACGACTTTAGGACGTCTTCAAAATGACATCTTTTAAACAATTATTAGCCGATGTCATAGACCATAAATTATTAAAAATATACGTCATTATGTCGTCTTTTAATGTCACTGTTACTTGATGTGAAATTAACTATGATATATAATAAAACAATATCATATTGGTCATTTTGTGATCTAAATTTATCGTTATTATGACGTCATTTTGCTACTTGGGACATAAGACTGTAACGATTGATTCAAGGTAATTAAAATAAAAAGGAAATAAATTATATTTAATTCATGAAACTTAGGATATAAATTAAGATATAAAATTAATTGATAATTAATGATTTTTTTCAAAATTTTCTTATGGAATCGTTTGTATTTCATATGAAGGGATTTTTGAAGTGTAATTAAAAATTATCTAACTAATTGAAAATAAATAAATTATTTTTACACTATGCATAAACAAAAAAAAATATATATAAAATTTTGTTTGTGTTTCGTATAAAAAGTTTTGAAGTATATAGGGTAGATGTCCCAATTACTACCAATGTCCCTATAACTGCCGTTTTATTTATTTTACTTGATAAAAAATAAATTTGTAAACAAACATATTCAAAAAGAATTGTGTTATTAAATCAATACTTTAATTTATATAAAAACAAAAAATGACACGTATTTGTTTTTACTTAATATTTAAAAATTAATGTTAAAAACTGAACATTAAGTTTGAGTATCAAAAGTGCGACTACGTAAATAAAAGGCGATGCAAAAGTCGTACTAAAGAAAGAGCAATAATTTTATTATATAACCTACATTGATTATGTAAAATGAATTAATGAGCTATATAAGAATCATTTTAATGAAATAATGTGTGAAATAAGTGATATTTTATGTTAAATTATTATCATTAACGCTGACAGCAATAGGGACAATATTTTCTTATTTGTCCGTCAGACTGCCGTCAGTATTCGGGGCAAGAAGCACATCACAAGTATGCATAATTGACACTCATCTACAGACTTTAACTTCTTTTCGGGCAGAGCGAGACTGGTACTGGGACTGGCAGTGATCTGGCTACAGTTAAAGGAATTGGCAATTACCGGATGTCAATCATACGGACAACATTTTTTTTAAATGACAGTCATGGGAACATCGTAAATTTCTATAGATTTTTATTTATTATTAATTTGAGTATTTATATGTACTGCATAATAATTTTTTTTATAATAATAGAATTATTAAATAACATTATGATTCAAAGTGAGGCATTTTTTAGCTTCAGCAACACCCAAAACGGTAAATGAAGTTAGACTTAAGGTGGCAGTAATTAGAACGTCTACTCTAATTAAACAGATTTGGTAGTCATTCGAATAATTCTAATTACAGAATATATATGTGTATAATTTTGATGTTTCATGCAATTGAATTGATCTTTTACCGAGAGTTTTTTGAGAAACCGCTAGCGCTATAGTAAACAGTAGAATCGAGCGTTCCAAAAGAGCTTTCTATGGGATATTGATATAGAGAGCAATCAGGTATGCATCCGCAAGGTCCCTTTATTATATTCTCTATCTTGTTTGGTAGTTTTTTATCATTTTGATCCATATCTGGCCATGAAGTATCGAAAAACGCTGTAAAAAACAAATATATGTAAAACAAAATAGGTGATCTATTTTAATCAATTTAGATGATTTATGGAGAAATAATGAATTTTTTTTCTAAAAAATGTTTTAAACAAAAGTTGTACAATTTTCAAAGAGAAATAATGTGACAATGTTAGTTCGTCCTTGGATATAATTGCCAAAATCACGTCAAAGTCGACTAGGTTTTTTAAAATAGAAACCCTCAATTTTTTATAACATATTCTTGCAACTGACAACAAAACGTTTTTAAAACATCCATAAAGTTTTATTTCGATCTAAGTATTTCACAGTTGAAGCTATTTAAAGTTCTGTTAACAATAATATGCGTTGCTTGATTAATTGAGTTTCGCATTGTTTCTCACGTTTGGAGTGCTGATTATTAACGTGGGTTCTTTTGTTTCTCACAGGTAGGATCTTTGATTAACATGAGTTTCCTTGTCTCTCACGTTTGAACTTTCTTTTTTTATTAATATTACATTCTTTCCTCGAATGATAGACTATTACCGGCATGCATATTTGCAGTCTTAATATAAATGAAATTTTTATGCTACTTATAATTTCAATTGAAATGTCTTGCTCTAGTAAAACGTTTCTTTATATTTTTTCCAGTTGTTGATTCTCTTTCAAAAATAATCTCTTTAATATATCCTCTCACAGAATAAAATCTAGCGATGTAAAATCAAAAGAATTTGGTGGCCAAGATCTATATATAACATTGTGAACATATCTTTCATTCAAGAAGTTTCGAATAGCGTGATATTTATATGGAGATGCACTATCATGCTGGAGCCATCTGCCTTATAAGTTTTAAATTTGTATTTATACCGATATACTTTAATATATGTACTAAGTACTACACTGACCAATCATAGCCATTTTTCTAAAGAATGGAATGGTTGTTATTGACCAGTATAGTATTTAGTACATATTAAAGTATATCGGTGTAAACTAGATCTCTAACAATTCCGGTAGATTATTTTGCAAAAATTGCTTTAATTCTCTTACCATTAAGTTATTTAAAAATTGAGATTCAATAATTTATCTGTTTAAAATACAATACCAGACATTAATTTTCCATCGATTCTGATTATCAATACGACGATCCCAGTAAGAATTTATATTTGAATAATAGTAACTATAATATTATGCTAATTTAAGTCTCTTGTATTTTATGAATGCTTCACTAAACATTAAATTTTCAAAAAAAGCGGGACTTTCTTTATATTTTTAAAGTCTATCGATAACACTCAACGCATTTTTGTTTCTGAATTTCATTAAGTTTCTGAGGAATATGGTAAGGATGAAAATAATTCGAGACACTGTCGTCTGAGACAGTGTTAAGCTCACAAAATAGTTGATGTTTTGGTAAATGTATATTAAGGGACTCACCCCAAATGATCTTGTCCTTGACATATGTTGTCAAGGTCATGACCCTGAGTAACATTCAAGAGGTTTTAACCGTTGCTTGTTGTTTATTAAAAAGTTATTAACAATTAAATTGTACGATAAGAACAAAAATATTGGTTTGGATTAGGTTAGAATTTTTCGAGGCGGAAGTGCAGGAGGAGAGGCTCCGGCCCTTCCTCGCTCACGCATTCACTTTGCAATAGACTATGCAGACAATAATTTAATTAATAATTATCACAGATGCGTACGTATACACGTGTGTGTGCATCTATATGTATATACAAATGGAATTATGTGTGGAATTCACATAGAACCGTACAATTATAAATCGTACAATTATAATTATACAATTATATTGGTTTTTTTTTCATACATATTTGTTATTATAACCAATTTAATTATAACCAATAGTTAATTATAACCAATAACACACATACATCCGTGATAATTATTAGTATTAAATTCTGTATAGTTATCGTAAAGTGAATGCGTGAACGGGGGAGGGACGGAATCCCTCTCTCGCCCACGTATTTACTTAAATACTTAAATATACAATTAATATAGAATTCATGCTCGGTAAATATGCATATTAGCGCCGACCTCACTGATTTCAATGACCTTGACATATGTTGTCAAGGACATGACTCTAAGTAACTTGCAAACAATTTTAGCCGTCGCTCGTTGTTTATTACAAAGTTATTAACAATCGAAGATAGTGACCGACCAATACTTGCGACATAAGACTGTATATATTTCTTCCGGAAATGGAGCCCCCCCCCGTAGGAAGGGCGGAACCCACTGTGTCCATGCATACACTTTAATGCGAAGTGAGGTTCCACATGGGTTTACAACTTTCCACGCAAAGCGAGGTTCAGCGCAAACCTATGTGTCTAGTTTTCCAATAGTGGAGCCTCCCCCGCAGGGGGGCGGAACATACTGCCTCCACGCATATACTTTTTAATGAGAAGTGAAATTCCACATGGGTTTACAACTTTTCACGCAAAGCGAGGTTCAACTCATGTACAACCCATGTAAAATCTCACTTTGCTTTAAAAAGTATAGGCATGGATACAGTGGGTTCCGCCCCCCTCTGCGGGAGGGGGGCGGAACCCACTATCAAAAAACTAGGCACATAAGATCGCGTTGAACCTCGCTTCGGGTGGAAAGTGTATGCATAGAACAATGGATTTCGCCCCTCCTACGGGGGGGGCTCCACTTCCGGAAGAAATAACTTAACCCAAACCTATTTCTGATTTAAAACTAAAATTTGGTTTGGATTAAGTTATATTTTCTGGAGCTCCCTCGTAAGGGGGGAGGGGGGGGGCGGATCATAACCGCCACTTTTTTCGCGATATGAACTAAACCTCGTTTTGCACTCAAAGATGCAAATCCATTTAAAATCGTATCTCGCTTTGCGTGAAAAGTCATAAACTTAAATTGTTAATAACTTTGTAATAAACAACGAGCGACGGCTAAAATTTTTGGCAAGTTACTTAGAGTCATGTCCTTGACAACATATGTCAAGGTCATTGAAATCGGTGAGGTCGGCGCTAATATGCATATTTACCGAATAATTTTCTAAACAACGAGCAACAGCTAAAACCTCTTGGATGTTACTTAGGATCATAACCTTGACATCAGGGTCAAGGTTATTGGGGATGAGTTCCCTAATATGCACATTTACCAATGTTTTCGCTAATATGTGGATTCATTAAATGCCATCTCGGTAAAAATTGACAAAAACTTACGTAGCACACGCGCACGGATCATTTTATTCTTAATGTATAATTGTAAAGGGCAATATTCTAAGTAATTTACTTAATGTATAATTGTAAATTCTAAATAATTTGAACTTTAAATCGGGTGTGGCGGAATCTTCTCTGTGCTGAGATATCTGATTTTAAAGTATTTTAATTTTTGTACCTAAATATTTCTAATTTAATTTAGTTCTAAATCTTTTCAAACATTGTATTCAATAACTAGACAGAGTAAATGTTTATATTTTTTATATTTACTTCGTAACTGTTTAGTTTCGCTAAGAAGAGTTTTGCTAAGAATTTCGAAATAAGTATAGTTTATAAATTCCTAGTTATTACTTTATTTATTGTTAAGTGTAAATGGTTAGGAATTCGTAAACTGTACTTATTTCCAAATTCTTATCAAAATTAAATATTAGTAATCCTGAAGCATATTGACAGTGATACAATGAGGAGCAAATGTAAAGAATAGAAATATAAATACACAAGTAGAATATAACGAAAAGATGATACAAATATAAGTAGAGGACATCGGGGCTGGTTGTAACATTTTTTAAAGGATTACTTCCTGTGTATTAAGATTTAATTTACTTTATGTAGATCATTTGGAAGTATTATATTCTGGTTTCGGAATCGTATATTATTTTGAAGAAATCTTATATTTCATTTATACAATAAATATATAAGAATTACTAAGTTTCACTAAAAGTGACCGTTGTTATTTTTAACCCCTTGCTTGGGGTTGGTTGTAATATATAGCGGGATAAGTTGAAACAAAACATTGTTTATCATTATTACTTATACTTATTGATAATTTTTACAATTATATGGTAACTAAGTCAGTCACTTATTATCAGTCTCAAATTTAGGAAATATAACATAACATTAATAACAAAAATCAAAATTGAAAAAGAAAACCAAATAAACATTCCTCTCTTAACAATTTGACATCAACAAATTTTCATTAAAACTCCAGTTTAAGGAAGGCTGCTCCAATGACCTTAACCGTGACATGTTGTCAAAGTCATGACTCTAAGTAACATCAATTTCATTTTTAATTTTAAAACTTAATAGGATACTTATTTTTCTATAATCAATATTTTCCTATAATCATGTTTCAATGATTTTACGTATCAGGTGATTGCATAAGTTCGTGCCCGATTTAAATATAAACTTCAATAGATTATATTTTAGAGATAACACTTTTATTAATCAATTATATAGTCTCCATTCTTTTCTACAATGGTTTTCCAACGATCTACAAGCTTGTCGATTCCATTTTTGAAGAAAGAACTTCGTTTTTCTTGAAAAAAGTTTGTAAGGTGGTTTTCGACAGCTTCCTCAGAATTGAGATTCTTGCCATTTAAACTATTCTGCAAAGACCGGAACAGATAAAAATCTGAAGGCGCAATATCTGGAGAATATGGCGGGTGCTGCAAAATTTCCCATTGCAACTCCTGCAGTTTTCACAGCGTCTGTTGAGCGACGTGTGGCCTAGCATTGTCGTGGTGGAAGATGACGCCTTTTCGATTGGCCAAAATCGGACGTTTTTCTCGAATAGCTGCAGCGAGTCTAGTTAGTTGCTCACAGTACTTGTCCGCCGTGATTGTTTCGCCGCGTCGGAGCAGCTCAAAGTAAATAATTCCCTTGCGATCCCACCAAACACACAGCAACACCTTCATCGGATGCAAGCCAGCCTTTGCTACGGGTTCTGCTCCTTCAGCTGCTGTTTTCCATGTCCTCTTTCGCTGTACGTTTTTGTAGAGAATCCACTTTTCATCGCCTGTTACCATTCGATCTAAAAAAGGCTCTTTTTTGTTACAC